CCTCGTGCACCCGCACTTGAAGACTATTTCAACGAGCTGCGCCGCCTCGCGGGCCCGGCGAGAACGGCCTCGGCCGGCAGCTGCCCGTCTTTGACCGAGCGTGGTTCAAGTCCTTCCTCGACGGGCACGAGAGGCGGAAGAACATGTGGCAGCGGCTCAACGCAAAAGCCTGGGATGAGGCTGGCGTTGACGAGCTCAACTTGGGCACGGTGCCGGGAGCCGGTCGTAAGACGATCGAAGCACCGCCGGCGTATGACTGGGACACGATCAGGAAGCTGCCGTTATTGCTGCAGGCGTTGCAGGGACTCAACACAAAGGCCTTCTAGGCGATGATCGTGGGTGTGTTCGATAGAGAATAAAGCGTTCCTTCACCTTTCAGGTATCGACCGTCGCGACGTGTTATCAACACAATTCAGTGTGCAATCAAGTCTTTTCGTACAAGCTTTTGTTCGAGTCTGCTTAAGACAGAGCGACCTTGGTTAGCCACAGCGCGGAAGAGAAGTTTGGAACCAAAAAGTTGCAACATGTAATTATCCCAAGCCTTCCCAGGCATGCAATGCTGTCATGACTCGTCCCGTCCAGTGTGCCCGTCCCGTTCCTGTGCTAAAGTAGCAACACGTCGAAGGGGGGAAAACGCCCAATAGCACCCAACCTACCGATACATTCAAGTCAACCACCAAATGCATTGTCCTACCCTCATCGCCTGCGCCGGAATTTGCTGTTGAAACCAGCGCCGCCCTTGGAGCCCGTGTTTCTGAGCTTCAGGCGCCGGAAATTGGTGTGCGCAAACTCGTTAACTTTCCTGGCCGTCTTCTTGACAGCTCCTTCCTTCACATTCGTCTTCTTAACGGTCTTCTTCGAGCTCTTCGCCTTGGCAGCCTCTGCGTCAGACCCCTCGACGTCTGACGGCACAAAATCTGCCTCGTCGCCTGATGCGTATTCGTTTTCCTTGTTGGGGTTCATCTGCGTCTCAGGAACCACGTCGTCGTCCTCCGCGGGCGCGCCATCGACTGATGCCGTCGGCCTCTTGTGATGCACCGGCTTCATGTTCGACCTTCTTGTCGTCCTCTTCTGTCCCTTCTTCTTGTATACCTTCAATGGCTGCCCGTCACGTCCCAGCTGTTCCTCGGGCTCGGTGTCATACATGCCCTCGTCATCGAAGCCGCCAAGCGGCAGGTTCATGACCTGACTGTCGGCCACCAGGACGTCGTCTTGTGGCTTTGGCGGAGGCTTCATCTGCATCGGCGCCGGCGCCGCCACCAGCCCCGTCTCGCCTTGCTCCATCTCACGCAGCGCGTCCATATCGTCGTCGTGTGCCTCTTCCTCGACCTTGCGCAGCCTGGCCACGATGGCGCTGAGGCCGCGGCCCAGTGTTTGCGGGGCAGCCCGCAGGGGCGCAG